GGCAGGGAAGAGAGGCTTTCAAAACGTGCACGTGAAACTCGGCACAGAGCAACTTTGCAAGTGCTTTATTGATTTTTATCCGCTTCCTTTACACGGGGTAGAGCACAAACATTAAACATGAAGTGGCACTGAAGAGCCTTTCGGAAGACGAGGCTTTGCAGAAGTTAGTGGGGAGTTTAGAGGACCCAAACACTTGTCGCTGCCTGGGTGTTCTCTGGCCCGAAGGAGCAGCCCAGTGGCCACTGGTGGCCCAGGCTGTGGCCCTCCCTCTGCTCTTGCTGTCCCCACATGGGGGCAGGCCAGCAGGAAGCCTGCTTCAGGGTCCCGACCCAGCTCCCACCCAACAAAGGGCGAAAAGCACCTTTTGTGGTCGCGTCGCCCTGCTTGGTGGGCTTGCCTCTTCTCCAACGGGGCACAAGTGCAACCTGGCAAAATGTCGGTGATAAAGCTCAGGTACCAGAGGAGGTGATTGTTTTCAGATATCATGTGGGCGACTTATCACGTTCAAGAGTTCAAAAAAACTTGAAACTGGAAGCACCTGTGACTCTGGGAGGCTTCTGGGCAGTGCTGCAGCACAGCAGTCACACAGGAGCACTGCACTATGTTTCTCCAGAAACCTAAGCTAGTCACAAGATGAAACTTTTTTTTTTTTCTTTTTTCTTTTTTTTTCTTTTTTTAACCTATCCTAGCAAAATAACTTCTGCTCCAATTAACTTGCCCAATCAACACCAGAAACTGGTCACTGCTAGCTATTGGCACGCCAGGTTTGGCTGTGTTTCTCCATGGTGCTAAGGGTGTGCGCAGAGCTTTGCAAGCAAGAACAAGGCAGAAGCTTGCACTGACTACAGTCTGAACTAGCATGCAGACTAAAAAAAATAAAAAAATAAAAATGTGCAGAGTGGGTTTTAATAAGCACACGAGCATCTCTGTTTGGCTCTGCACATCTCTTGACATTCCAGGAACATGGTTCAAAGTCCTCTCATGGCCACAAAAAGAGTTTGGTGATTTCCAGTCAAGCTTAAAAAAAAATAGTGTTTCATGGAGAGGCAATAAGGAATTAAAAAGAACCGTCTCTGAACCAGTTGGTGTCATTTACGGTCCCAAGGCTCACCAGAGCTCAGGTATTTGTCTCGGTGGGGTTTCCTGCTAGTGCTCTCCCCCCACAGCTGCTCGCACCGATGGGTATAAGCGGGGTTGCAGATGTAGCAATGACATGTGAACAGCACAGATCATAGGGGAGCTGAATCTGTATGCTTTAGCACAAATTAGATTGCATTTCTAAAATCCTAATAAGCATAAAGATGGATCCAGAGGGATTGTTACAAACCGAACCAGAATAATAATCTCATCCAGAATTTACCTAATGGACAAAAGGAGAGACGGTTCTCAAATAATGGGCACATCAAATGAACCAAAGAGCATCTACACGAGAAGAAATACGATCCTATTCTGGGATGCTGGGGCCTGCAGTGGGGCATAGGGGGCCTGTGCAAATTGTAGCTGTGCTGGAGAGAGATGCCGACGAGTGGGTAGCAGGCTCTCGCTCTCAAATACAAGAGTCAAGGAAGTACTTTATGTATGGATGAATAATTGCTTTTATGAGGCCAAGTCCTTCATTGAAGCTAATGGAAAATTTGTCATTGACTTCAATGGGATCGGCACTAGACCCATAACGAGAAAATAATAATGGTCTTGTCTGCAATATAAAGCCAAAAAAAAAAAAAAAAAAAAAAAAAGGAGCCGGCATTCACAGCAGCCAAGAGCCTTCTGCATGGCTCTAGGAACACTGTACTTGGTGAATCATTTCTCTGTTAGATAGAGCATTTGTTCTGTTCCTGATTTATCTCCAAGCAAATTTAGACTACTCAAAATCGATTTGCTCATTATAATTTTTTCAATGCCTATGGGCAAACTCTTGGCTTCTGCCGTTTCCCATTGTTACTCCTGCTGAGCAGGCGGGTGCCTGGCTCACGTGGGGCTGCTCCCGCTCCCCGCCTGCGTGACACGAGGTGCGAGCGGGGGGCTGGTGGGCGCCCCGCTGCCCTCGCCCCGCAGAGCCGGGCTGGCGAGGCTCGGAAGGAGCTGCACAGCCCTCCTCTGACACACGGCCAGCCCCCAGGTTCAGAGGCTCGCGTTTGCAGACATTTCAAAGCACCCAGTTTTAAAATGAACCGGGCGGACCTGTTAACAGAGCAGCACGTAAGGAGGGAAGCCAGGGAGATCTTACGAGGATTTCCCTGGGAAAGCCATTGAATCAAGAACTTGCAAATCTCCGTTAATTAAACTGATTTTGCTGATACAGGGTTTTCACTGTAATTTGGTTGGATTTGGCATTTAGGGAGAAGAGATCCAACAAATGTTACTGGAAATGATGATGAGGAGCCTGCTCAGTCTTAAGGCAATGGCAGCCCCATGTCGGGATGTTTAATGGGGTCTGGGTGGGATTCAGCAGTGCCGTGAACGGGATTTTAAAGACCTCAGCCCTTTCCCACCCAAGCTGCTGCTTACGCAGGATCCTGGCCATGTGGCCATCCTTATGCAGATATTCCTATCTGTGCTCCCTATTTGCCATTTTATTTACGTTTGGCGATTCTGCTGCCCCATCCAACCCAGTTCTGTGCTTCGCTGTGTGCTCTTGGACACACACAGTTACCTACAGAGGCTCTGAAGGATCCTTTATCACTTCCAGTTGCCCTGGCATGCTGGGGGCTTCCAGCACTGCCTGGCCCAGAAGCCCTTTGACAGGTGATGCTCCCGCTGCAGGATCAGTCCCATGGGTGTTAAACCAGCCTAAGGAGCTCTGCAAGGTCTGAAAGAGTGACCCGGGCTTGGCTTGGGTTTGTGGTGCACACGAACGAGGCCGTTTCTAACTGACACAGGGAATGTATGTGTTTGTCTCACACCAGACCACATAGCCCACCCGCTGCGGGGTTTCGCAGCGAGCCATTGTGCCTCTCTCTGGGTCCTTTGTTCTTGCAGCACCTTCTACCAAAGACAATTTTTGGAAATGCTAAAAATTTGCATGATATTAAAATGCATGTTCCATTGGGCTTTCCAGTTAATTCTTTCTCCTTCTTCTTTTTTTTTTTTTTTTTTTTTTTCAACAAATAGGGCTCAGTTTTACCATTGTTCAATTTTTTTTTCTTTTATTTAAGCAAATTTTTCAGCCATTCAGCGCCTCTGTTGAGATTTTTTCTTTCATTACTTTATGGCAGATGAAAGTTAAGAGGTCCAATTACTAACATTTTATGATAGCACAGAATATTATTAAAGCACTTAAGAGGTTATTAACACCTTTTATGTACCTCATTATTTAAAAGCCTGCCATATTTAATCATTTTAGCACCATTAAATTGGCATTAACAACAACCCCATGACTTACGCTCAGAAATGTCACCGTTTGAGAACACTAATGCAAGAACGCATCTTGCAGAAACCTGGAGGCACCAGGTGAGCCACAATGCTTCATGCAAATGGGGCATTTCCCAGGGCTTTCGACCCCAAAGAGGGTCAAACATGCAGGATGTGGGGGCTGCTCTCTCCTGGTGCCCATGCCACACCAGGGGCTCACACCGTTGGGGGCCCTGGCTCGGTGTCTGCTGGGTCCCTTCCCTTGCCTAGCGGTGGGCAAGCCACTTGGCCAACTAAGCAAGGGAAGAGCAGAAAACCTTAATTCCCCATCCCCCGTCATCCCCATGTTTATGGGAGCTGTTCCATGCATGCTACTCCCTCTTGTAGAGTTGTGAAATTATTTATTGTGTCCCCCTCCCCTTGTGTCCTGTACCTCCTGTTTCTTTTTCACTCCCTCGCTGGGGAGGGCTGCAGCAGAAACGCAGGCTGCTGGTTAGCAATTACGCGGCATCAGCCTCTACCCGTTGATTATCAAGGACAAAAAAACAACAGCAGTGGAGTTGCTGAGTAGAACATCATGTTAATCAAGTTAGAAATATTATTTTTACAGCCGCCTGATTATTTCTAACAACCTGCTAAAGCCAGGGGGACTGGGTGGGTCAGAAAGGCTCTGAGGACGTTGGGAGCGTTCCAGCCCCTTCTTTCAGCTCTGAAACTCCAGGAGTGAGATCTATTTATATGGCACTTTTTTCCTTTTTATTTTTTTCATCAAAATACGGGATTAATTGTGTGTTCTCTATAAGGCTTACAAACAAATCCTTTGCCATAATCATTATTTTCATAGATGAGCATTACTAATATATTTTGGCATTTTAAAGCACATCCTTGAATTTACTCTGGCAACTATTATAGAGCTGAACACGGCATCGGGCAAATCTACCCCATGACTAATCTGCCCAGACTTCAGTAGCATTCCCTTTCTTTGTGACTGTCTAACAGAAAATGGAAAAGGTCCCAAATGCCTCCAGTTTGGAGCCATAAAGGGCCTCCTGAGTTGTATTTCAGATGCTGGCACTCAGACAAGCGGCTGTGTCAAAAACCCCAACAGGTCCATGTACAAAACAGATCAGTCCCATCTGCTGGAGGGATGCCACCACCGCTATCAGTACATTAGCTCAGCCATTTGGGGAGAGTAAATGTCGGCATTTGTGCGGAGCAGGGTCAGGGCACTCGCTGCTAATGGGGCCGCCTGTCCACACCAAAATCGCCCCAATGCCTGCGAACCACAGGCTCTGCCTTATTTCCATTGCCCTTGGAGGGAGATATTAATATTCGAGCCCAGCCACGCCTGGGTTTGTTTTGCATCTATATCTGCACAGCTCAATGCTGGTAGGCCTTCAGCTCTGTTAAATGATTTACAGGAGCCTTCAGACACCTCATGCTGGGCTCTGTCCCCTCGAGCCACCCAGCTCACCCTGTGTGCCTTCCTGCCAGCCCCCTCCCCAGCACAGCCACCTCCTTGTTATCTGCAAAGGCAGGGGGTTAATTAGCAGGTATCAGTGGAGCATTTAACAGCAGTGCCCTAGCCCTGAGGAGGTGAGGGCATGGGGCTGTGTCTTGTTTTCTCCTTTGGTTCTAGTCCCCATCTCCCCAGGTTCCTCCAATCTCTCTGCAGTTTCCTGCCCACCTCTCCCACACCTTCAAAAGGCTTTAAGAAGGTCAGGTAGCGAAGGGGATGAGATAACAGGAGAGCTTGAAGAACTTTATTTTTCAGAATAACTCAGCAGTAAGTGTAACTCCTACTGGGGTTTGAGCTCCTCATTCATTCAGCAGGGAGGGGAACGTCCTCCATGGGGCCAGCAGCATTGGTGGGCTTGGACTGTAGTTTTCCTCGCTTTATCATTGCAGTGACAGCAGCGGTGCTATAGACTAGCTCCCATGTGGACTTTCCTGCTAAGTCTTTGCTGCCAAAAAGGTGTGACCTCATTTGTTCCTTATGGACAGGTAACTACCACGTACTAGCTATTTTGCTGTAAAATCCAGTGGAGTTGAGACTCAAGGTGAAAGTGCAGTGTTGTTAGGTGAAACTAGCCATGGGCCATTTAGCATCAAGCAAGTGAAATGGCTTAGTCCCTGTGGTCACTTCAGCCTGTTGCTCTTTCCCTTCAGGGTTTACTTTCAGTCTCAGTGCTTGTTCTGCTGGTGCAGATACACCCTGAGAAGTTTCTAGCTTAGCCTGCCCTTCATCAGCTGTGGGGCTGTCTCCTCAGCAAGCCGAGCGAGGCAATTTGGCTGTGTTTTGCGGAGTGTCAGCCCAGGCTGGTGCAAACCCAGCATCATTTATCATCTGGGCGTATGATGGATGAGGTGATGTGAATTGGTGGCTTTGGTCCATTACTGTTGGAACCGACCAATCTCCTTACTGGCAGCCTCAGCAGAAAATCTGGGAAAGGCTCTTCGTGCCCTGTGGCACCTTTCCATCTTTGGAGGCAGCCCCTGTCCCCCAGCAGGGACTGTGAGCAGTCAGCACTGCGACCCTCGGTGTTTTGCTGCCTCTGCCTTCTGGAGCTCCTCCTGCTCTGCCAGGGCTGCGTGCCCGCTCCGAGACCCAGCTGTGTTCCCAGTGACTCCGTGCCCAGGACCCCCAGGCAGATGACACGGGTCCTGCAGCTGCTTTCCAGCCAGAGGTTTGCATGTCTGTAGTGGCTGTGTTGCAGCACCGAGGGATTTGATTTCAGTGGATTTTTCTGCCCCAGATCCCAGATAGCTTGGGTCAAAACCACAGCATCCCGCATGCAGAGAAGTGAGGGGAGATGGCTTGTGCAGCTCAGCAGGTGCCTGCTGCGGGTTCTGCATTTCAAGTTAAATCCAGTAAAGGTCTATTCCAACTCATTTAACTTCTATATTTCCCATCTTATTTTTCACAAAAAGCTCAGAAGTTCACAGGAGCTCAGCTCCTGTAACTCTCAAAGTAAATGGGAATAGCTACAATAAATTTACAGTCTGAAAAAGAGCTGTTCTTTGCATAAACTGCTTTTAAACAAAGTGAGAGTTTATTTTCAGAGGATGAGTTTAGGTGGCTGCTGTTGTTAGTCTGTTTTGTGCCTTTTTTTTGATTATTACTATGTTTTTGTTATATTGCGTGATTCTTGAATAGGTACTCAAACAAGCAAGGCTGGCTCATCATCCCTCTTTAATTCTGCATCGTGTCACTTTGGAAGGGAAATGGCTTGGTAAAAGCCAGAGAGTTCAGCTATGATGCTGGCAGATCGTTATGAAATATTCACAAGACATTTAGTTTAACTCGGTGCTAATTGAACACTGACAGCACAAGTTACTCCTGCCTGCAGCGATAGTCTATCACGTTTCGGCAAGCGGCATTCCTTCCCCTTTGATGCTCGGGCAGATAGGAGGCAGGAGCAGGGTTAGCAGCCTTAGCAGGCAGCATCAGCAGAGGCTGGTCCTGTGCTGGGGGAACCCTCTGGAGATGGGATGGGTTTGTTGGCACGGGGCTCTGAGGCTTCATCTACGCAAAGAAGCTACTTGGTATTACGTAAGGGATGAACTGGAACTGATGCAGGTATTTGGGGGATATCTTCTTTAGTGAAGACGTTGAAAAGAGACTTTCCTTTTTTTTGAAGGAATGTCCCAAAGCCCCTCTTGCCCTGATATAAGAGGGTTTCCAGGACACTTATAGCTGTACTGATGTAACAGTATTTCTCTGTGGAGACATGGCCTTATTTACATCTGTGTCTTTACTTCTATAGCTCAACAATCTGAATGTAAGGGTGTAACGGAGCTTTTTGGTGTTAAAGTTTTACGTGGGGTGGCTAACTGAGGTAGCAGTCTGCTGTAAGAACTTGCCTTGCTTTCAGCAAAGCCAAGGCCTTAAACATATTTTCAAAAGCAAAGGAAGCAATCACAGACTGAAAGCCCCCAGCCTCCTGTGAACCTCCCAGTTCTCCTAACACCGCTCTCCCCATCCAGCTGACCTGGGGAGGGCTGAATGCGACAGCCTCCAGTGCCTGTACAAAACCCCCGGCCACCGGACCTGGCTGGAGGGACATGCGGTGTCCCATGCTCTGCAGGATGCTGCCCCAACTGGCTTCCATAACCACCACTCTTCAGGAGGGAAATAAATGAGGCTTTCCAAGTTGTTTTACTTGATTCATTTCATTCTGGACTAGAGCAAGGCGAAGAGACAGTGGGAGGACTTCTCTGATAAAGTTTCTTTTTTTTTTTTTTCCCAAAGCAGAGAATACCAGAAGATAACACAACAGCAAATTACTGCATATTTTAAACCCTTGTAGCTAAACACTCTGTTTTGGGGCCGCGCCAGGTATCTTGTGGTGCCAATGAAAATGGGATACAGATGTTCGCTTGTTTGGATGGAGACACTGCAATAATTCATGCCTGCTACAAATTATATGATGCCTCGTGCTCACAAAAGAATACCCCAGTCTTTTTGTCAGTAATAAGAAATCATACTCTGTACCTATCTTAAAGAAAATAAGGATGGTAAAAATTGTGAACTGGGAAGTGTCCTTTTGTTTTCCAAGATGTGACCTCGGTTGTAGTGACAACGTAGTGCCAGCACCGTGCAAACCATGTGGTGTCACCGCTTGGTTGGGAGGGCACTGGTGTCTGGGCCAGGTACATGGGTGTTAACTACTCTGCCCGGCGTGTGTTACGAGCAGGGGCCCTGAGCTGCCAGAACAGCAGAGGTTTGGGATGTTGTCTGGGACTTTTTTTAAAAAACAAACCCTACTGATTTAGGCTTGAATATTAGTGATTTGGTTAGATGAATTTTAGGTGTTTGTAAAATGTCATCTCTGATTTTGAACTTGCTGATGAACAGTCTCATTGAAGGCCACGGCAACAGGGTATTCAGGAATGTGATCTGCCCTTGTCATGGGCATCATGAAAATGGGACCTACACACCCCGAACACACAGGGATGGGACAGGAAGAAAGAGCTGAGCCCATCCCACGTCAGTGTAACAGCAGGGCTGAGGCTCAGCTTCTGCTTTTTCATGTGTAGCAGCTAACTGCGAAACTGGCATCTGCCAAAAGAATTTGTTAGCATACCTCAGTACTCGCACCGCTGGTTTCCCTCTGTTGTGCTCCTGTCAGGAGAAGTACAAACAGGTTCACACCTGCTGGATGGCTTCAGGTTCGAGGAATGCATGTGCAAATTTGGCAGGTAGAAATTGCACTCTTAAAATTAAATTCCCCTTCTTGAAATCAGATCTCCCTGCTTTCCCCTCCTGCATTTTTCATTTTTCACTTTCTCCTTGCAATGCCCATATTAAAATTAAGATTTTTTTTTTTTTAATCTTAGTTCATTTTCATGAAGCTGCAACTGAATCTAAAATCACACTTCTGGGAATCCAGCACCAATGTTGTATGAACATCTTAAAGGTGTGCACAATTTTTCTCTCGCTCCCCCAAATTTTACTTTCTCTGTAATTTTTGTGGCATGGGTTTGGGCTTGACGCAACTGGCACAGTTTGGGATGCAATGATTTATTCTTCTGTTTTATTTGGGGAGGTGTTTAACCATTTGCTCACCCTTCCCAAGTTATACATTGACTTTTAATTGAAAAATCTCCTCTCAAGACAAAACCCTGAAAAGCTTTTGATTCAGTAGCACTTAAATGCAGTGTTTGGATTTCTTTATTTTTTTAAATTGTTTTTCTTGGCTTAAACCACTCACCAGATTTTTTTCCAACGTAATGAAAAGTTTTGGCATTCTGAAATGGCATCTTTTGCAGGACAAGTGTTGACTGAAAATGCTTTGCCCTCGCACTATTAATACATGAAATTTTTCACATTAGGGCAGCCCATGACTGTCCCTCGCTAGCTCTGCCTCTTGGCATAGGGAATTTTCAGTCTTCAGAGTGCAGACCTTTCAAATATTTCCATGGGGAATGTGGATCCCTGGATAGCAAATTTCTGGCTGTGAACACAATGTCTCTTTTTAATATCTCTGTGGATTCCTTAAAGTCCACCAGCCCCCCACATTTCAGGGCACAGCCTCAGATCCGCTTCAGGATCACTCACACTTGCTCGCATAATGCAGTGGTTCAGCAGAGATGTGCTGCCCCACTGGTCTGTCTTCAGTGGAGCTCGTCTCAGCCAGAAATAAAGGCAGGGTCTATTTTTTTCTTCTGTAAGTATGTTCAAAACATGAATTTCCATGAGCTTCCAACATAAGACCTATATCTGCATGGTAAGTAGAGTCACTTTCACTTGCAAATGAGGTTGGATCTGCTAAAAAATCTGCTAATTTGCAATAAAAATAGCATCCATCTTTGCTCTGCAAATATAGCCTATTTGAAAACTGTCCCATTTTCAGCACTGTAGCAGATTGTAGGATGGGAGAAAGGGGAAGGAGGAAATACCTTGCATTTGAAGTCACTTCTCAATCTCCGGGACTGTTCCACACACCTTTAGTCATGATGTTGCGTTTTGTGTCGTCACGGTACTTTTCGCAGCAGCAGCGATACAAACTGTGTGACTGCGGTGCAGATTCAGGAGAAACTGGGTTGATTGGGAGGGAGAAGGATTTGTTCAGACATAAATATCTCCTGCCATATTGATGGGAATAAAAAAAAAAATGGCCAGCCAAGAAATTGCTTTTTGTAGGAACGTTCTGTCTTTTTTTTTTTTTTTCCCTTTAATGCCTGCTCCAGTGTGAGAGACCCAGAACAAGGGGGCACCAAGGAGCTGCTTAATGAGTTTGTGATGCTGAATGCAGCTCCTCTTTCTGCTGGGTAAAAGTACAAGTAATAAAGGCGAGGGAGGTGAACGCATGCAGAAAATGGTATTAAATGAAGAGGCCTGGCCATGTAGGATCTCCCTGGGAAAGCTCTGACTTTCTTGCAGGTTAAATGTTCGAAGGAAATGCAGAGTCAGGCTCCAAGGCAATCAATGCGTACATCAAAAACTCAGCAGCTCAGCACGCGGCCAGGTGAAGCCACCAGGTGCAGAGAGGAAAGCCAGCACAACACCTTCTGTCCCAATACTCCTGCATCAAAAAGTGATGCTTGGAGAAGGGCAGGTGGGGTGTACCGGTACAGCAATGCCTGTAGGAACACGCAGGGGCAATGTAGGATTTCAGCATAGTGTAGAAAGTGCCAGTTGTGTCGTCTAGGTCAATACCTGTTGCACTAAATCCTTCCCTGTTCCAGCACCTAAATCTGCCTGGTTTGGCAACGCTGCTTCTGGCCTGCTGTGGCCAGTGTCCTGCCATGCAGTGTAGGCAGGAAATTCCCTGTGCTCCAGGGGACAAGCTGAGGGATGCCTTTGCTTCTGAGGGGATGATTTGAGCTCTTCATAGCCCCTTATTAACTATTTGGGGATGGAGCTTGTGGACAGGTAAAATAAATACACCAGTAAGGAGGTATGAGGAAAAGTCCCAGTGTCTAATTGGAGATTTTGCCAATAAGGATGGCTCCAGGAGCACTTTATTCCTCCCACTTCTGCGCTAAGGCTGGCTGTGATGGGCTGCCCCGTGCTTCATGCAGCAGCAGAGCCTGGGACTGAGGCCTCCCCTCAGTGTGCCCGAGCTTCTGACATCCAAAGCCTTGGGTGGAAACTTGCTCATGTCTAGATGGCTTGCAGCAGGCGATGCTCTTAGAAGAACAGCTCATTGCATATTCATGGTGGGGCACACGGCACTTGAGAGCAGCCCTTAATTTCTGCTGTGGTGGATCTGGGAATACACCTCTGGCCATGCTCAGCATGGATCAAGAGGAGCTTTTTGGCCCTTCTTCCTCTGAGAAAGACCCACTAGTTTCTTCAGTTTCAGTTTGGGCACATTATTTTTTAAAAACAAAAGAGCATGATAGAGCTCTACGTACCAGTTGGAAAAAACATGATTTGTCATGAATACTAATATGCGTTTGACAGTATCCTATAAATTCAACGTGTTTTGAAGAGCATTAACAAGAGGTATAGGAACCGTACTTAAGATCCCCCGCCCCCCCCCAATTAAAAGAAAAGGAAGCTAGTAAGAGTCTGTATTTGTACCCAAAACAAATATGGCTTGGGTCACGGCAAGACTTCTGCCCGCCGTGCTAGGCCTGGGTCTGCAGCACGTTCATTGATTTTTGTCTCCATGAATCACCCTACAGCTATAGGCAACAAAAGCTGAAGCTATGTAGATCTGATTTCTAGTTCATTTGTTGTTCATTAGAAAGATTTTCTCTCTCTTATTTGCTGCACCCCTGCTGCTGCATGTTCATTAGGAGAATGGAATGTATTCCAAATATTTCCTAGCTCTGGGAGGGCAGATGGCGGAAAGTAATTTTCCAAACCCCTCTAAAAGAGAGGGAGGGGGGAAAACCCTCCCCAATAACCCCAAGTCACCCCTGTGCACTGGCAGACTGAGGTATTTCTGAGTGCGGACCTGCCGTGCACTCTCTTTGGTTGCACAATGCTGCGTGTCAGTGTGGTGGGAAGTGTGTATGAATGGGGCTGGATCACGCTGCGTGGGGGAGGCTCGCACGGCTGGGATTTCTTTCACAGGAAGCCACGTCTGCGAGGAGCACCCAGCAGCACGCTGCCCTGAAGGATGTGCACTGAGGAGCGAGCAAAACTCATTTCCCTAAAGCTTCCGGGCGGCCCAACGCCTGCAGGAACCCCTGGGGGGGGGTTGGCCCCGCTGGAGGTGTGGGGTGAGCTGGAAGTGCCCCAGACACCCCGTCCCTGTCCCCTGCCCTTGCAGCGCCAGCAGGAGGATGTCGGAGCGCTCAGACAATGGTGGAGGAAGCGGCTCTGGCTGCGTTTCCCTTCTGCTCCTTGGAGAATGGGGGGAGCGCACAAGCAAGGGCCGGATTTAGCTCTTGGATCCACATGAAACGTCCCCGTGCCGCCTGCTCCCTTCCTTCGTGCTCGGCCTCTTGGCATGGGGGTGGAAGTGGCGCGCACGAGGGGATCAGGGGAGCAGAGGCAGCGTGCAGCAGGCAGAGCCACAAACACAATGCGGGCAAAACAAAGAGCGGGGCTGTGTTTACTGCCTCCCCGGTGCCATTCACGTCTGCTTGGAGCTGGTTTCCTCTTTTCATGAGCCTCTTGACCTGCAGATCCCTCTCCTCAGCAGCCCCGGAGCCCCATGCCTGGATCTGCCTGCCTCTTCAGATCAAGCCAGCAACACACATCGGACACAAAGAGCCCGGGCTGTGTGTTCGCCTCAAGGCTTTAAGCTCCTTGTGCTGGCCCCCGGGGCTCGTGTTTGTTTTCCAAGCCCTGAGGACAACAGGCGTGCTCTGGAAGTCCACACAGAGTGCCTGAAGGCTGCGGGCCCCAGGCCTGCCCTGTCCTATGGGAAGTGCCCTTGGCCCTGTGTAAGGGAGGGCCAACAGCCCCAAAACCCCGCACACAAGCCTGGCAAAATGAGGAACTCGTGCAGGAGCCTGCCAGAAGGGCACAAGCCTGATGGTGGAAGGGCAGCATTGTTGGCCCTGGCTGAGACACTTGGTCCCACAACAACAACTTTGGAGAGAGGTGCTGTGACTGGGAAACCCCAAAGGGTTTTATAGCACGCTGGTTGTGGTTGATTTTCAAGCCCCCCCTTTCTCCAGGCCCAGCCTGCGTTACAGCGAGCGTGGGGCCTCCGACTGCATTCATCTCCTCAGCTGGGCCTCGGGGCACAGAGGTGTGAAGCAGCAGCTTGAGGGCAGGCTTCAGAAACAGCACCCCGAAGGGCATGGGGCAGGGAACCTCCGGGCCTGTTTTCTGCAGCCAGCACGACCTGAAATCCCGCTGCTCAGCCAGATGGAGGCACAAATGGGGGAAATTCCTCCCATGTGCCATGCCCTCCCCTGCAGGAGCTGGGCAGCTCAAGATGACCCCACCACTGCTGCTTGGAGCCCAAGCACATCCAACCCACACTCCTGTGCCTTTCACAACCCCACAGAGTTTTAAACTTTTCCATCAGCTGGCCGATAGCCTTCAGAGATGAGCAGTGGCTGTAATTGATTCATCAAGGCTCCTGTTAATTTGTTTTTACTCAATTGTGGAAACGCAGTTGATTCCCAGTTATCGTGCTCTGGAGTCAAGCTTCCTTTAGGTAATTTGCAGCGTAGCCTACATATGTGTAAGAAACGTATCGCCATCGTGTTTTTAATTAAAACGCGTACGGTAATACCAAAAGGAGAGAGGGGGAGGAAGGGAGGGAACCCAGATTAAGTTTTTAATTGTTTTAATAGTGAGAGTTGGTTCAGGGAGAACAGGGCATATTGGTTTCCTTGGAAACATTGGCGATGTATTAGCTGTATAAAACCGAGCATAAAAGATTTGCAAAAGTGAAGCCTTTAGGTTTTAACTGATATAACTAGTTTCATTTGGAAAATTGGCTTCACACGTGGCCCTTGGAGTCCCCAAAAGGGGTCTTCTCTGGAGCCTCAGGATTCACCATTTCACAGGTCCCCATTAGAGATCTAAAATGGCAATAACAACAAAAAGCCTTCAACAAGTCGATATCCTTGATTCATACGCTTTAATTAGGTGTGCCCAGAAGTTCTCTTTGTGGAGAGCAGTACGGGACTCAGGCGAGACCATGTGGTTTGAGGACAAAGTATGACAATTTGGCTGTTCAAATATTCCAGTAAAAATAAAGATTTTTACCAACATAGCAGTACACAATGCTGCATGCACACCCTGTTGTTTTTTTTTTTTTTTATTGTATACAACATTTCCCAGTAGTATGTGACAAGCTGTGGCCAGCTTCAACTTAAGTAGCTGGCCTGGCCTCGTGCCATGTGTTCAATGCCTCTCGTTTTCCTGGTGCAGCTCCCAGGAAATGTGGTGCCGCTGGGAAGGATGCAGCTCCTGAGGACTGGGGTTATCACGGCCCCAAGGCACCTGGAGGCACAAGGCCACGCTTCAGCATTGTCCTCCCCCGACTTCACCATTTCATTTTGTTCTCTTTAAAACTCGAGCTCGCAGTTTTGTGGTGGGAAATAAAAGCTTGGGTGGGAGCACCCAGGTGGGATGGGAACTGCTGTGGGTACGGACGGCTCACCTCTGAGCCCAGGCTGTGCGGAGGTGGTGTGGCTGGGACAAAAATGCTGCAGGAGCACATTTAAACAAAAGGGAGGGGAGAGGCCTGCAGCTATGGGCCCGGATGGAGCATTTTGGACTCTCAGAGGACGGGCGGCTCGGTTTTAGCATGTAAGACTGAAAATCATTTGGGCAGCTGAGTAAGTAAGAGTTACGGAAAAGGCCTTTTGGGGAGCGCTGCTGGTGCAGGACCCTCCCTGTCCCCCAGCGCTGCCGGTTGTGTCCCCGTCCCTCTGGTGCCGCAGCTCCCAAGTTGGCTTTGGCAGGAGGTGAGCCAAGCGTGGGGCTGGGTTGCCTGCATGGCCGGCACACAGAGGCCGAGTTCTGTGCCCAGCCGTGAGCGAGGGCCCTGGGCGGCTCCGTGCGGCTCAGCCAGGGCCAGGAGCTGAGCCCAGCAGAGGCCCAGCCCCAGCGCCCCCACCCCAGGGTGCTGGGGGCACGGGAGGTGTCGAGGTCGTGCCCTGCAGCACCTCACACGCATGTGTGCACGGCCCCAGGCGCCGCCCTACGACCCCAAACGCTGCCAGCCCCGGCCTCAGCACCCCGCCTCCGCCCCCTCCGCGAAACCCCGGTGCGCGCCCCCGCCGCTGCCCCGCGCGCTCCCGCGGGCGCGGCCCCTTTAAGGCGGCGGCGCGGGAAGGCGCGAGCGGAGCCTTTGTCACGGCCCCGGGTCACGGCGCGGTCACGGCCCCGCCCCACGTGGACAGGCAGCCCGCGCGGCGGCGGGGGGGCGGCGGCCCCGCCTCCCTGCGCTGATTGGCTGCCCGGAGCCCGGCGGCCCGGCCGCCTCGCTTGTCATTGGCTGAGCTGTCGCATGCGGAGGGGGCGTGGCCAGGCCCGCCCGTGACACCGCGCGCCGTCTGGGGCCGCCCCCGCGGCGTCTGGGGGATTTAAAGGGGCAGCGCCCGCGGGGCGGGGGGCTCGGGGGGTTCCTGGGGGTCGCTCCGTGTCCCCGCATGGCCGGGCTGGGGGTGCCCACCCCTTGCTCTCCGAGCTGCTCGGAGCCCCCCAGGTGCCCGGGCAGGGCCGTGGGGTCTGTGTGTCCGTCTGGCTGCCCGCTGTGCTGGCCCTGCACGCCTTGGCTGATCTCGGGGTGTTTTGACGCTCTCCCCCAGCACTGTCTGATTTTACACCCGCCACCTGCTTTTGCTCCTCTTGGTTTTGGGGCCGGGGGGATGAGCTGTGCCCACTGGGGCTGTGAAGGTGCAGGGGGATGGTGTTCGGGGCCTCCTGCTTCCTGCGGGGTGAACGTGGGCCAGGTCTGCCTGAGCCCTGAAGCCTCTCGTCTGGTCCTCGCTGAGGCAGAAGGGGCTGGAGGAACGTGCTGGTGGCTTCCACTGGTGGCTTCCACAAGCATGTGCCTTGCAAACCAACACTCATTGAGGTTTCAGCCCCCTGGCGGGGCACACCACCAGTCACGTGGGCCCCAGCCCAGTGCGGGGCTGTGCAGGGAGGGAGAGAGCACCAGGGGGCTGCTGAGGGCCACTGGGTGGCTGCTCCTGCCCCAGTGCCACCATCCTGCCCCAGCCCTGGGGAGAGACAAGGGGCCTGGGCTCAAAGGGGGGACATGAGGGAGAGGGGTCAGGGAGAGAAAGTGCCACAGGGCACGGCCAGTGAGCAGAGCGGCAGGGAAGACGCAGGTGGGTGTTTGGGATCACTTCAGGTGGAATCGTGTTTGCAGTAGGTTATTAACACGTATCGCATGGGATGAAGTCTCAGAAGGAAACGCGTCTGATGTTCCAGACAACAATGAGGGCTCGTCTACTGAGGAATTAATTCAGAATAGCTGCTGCGCTTTAAATCATACCTGAGATTAATCTGTGCTGACTTTCAAAGGGAAACAAGAAACTGGCGAGCATCTGTGTCCCTGCCCAGCATTGTTCTCTATCACCGCAGAGATCTCGTTACAATTGTCAGGGAGAAAATCCCAGTTCCTGGTACCAAACAGTTAAAAAATAAATAAATAAAGACTTTAGTAACCAGAAAGTAGAAACCGTGTCTGGAATTGTTCGAAATAAGGCTTGCTTGAAAATAAATATAGAATTATTCACCATGGTAACTATTGCCCTATTGCGTTAGCGCGTATCGATTTAACATTAATCCAAAGACTAATGCTGTGAAATATTTGGGCTCCTTAATGGACAACTGTTTAGTTAACAAATCTTTGGGGAGTTGTTGAATTTTTTGTTTTGTTTTTCTTTAGATCTCCCCAACCACTTTGGGAAGGAGATGATTTGACTCTTAGGGTTACTTACTTCTAATATGGATCTCTCTTCCCAATTACGTTTATGAATTTATCCTTAGCGTTGCACTACAGCGATTATGCAGGGTCATTCAAATCTTTAACTAACGCTCAAGTGCTGCCGTGAGGAATAAAAGCACAGACACCAACGTGACTGCACAGGCAAACGAGCGGCTGCTGGTGTGGCAAGCGGCGAGATGTTACAGCCCCGAGAACCCAGAGCAGAGCAAAGTGTCTTGGTCCAAGGACCTCAAATCTTGTGAAAGCTCCCCTGGGTCCCTCCCTTTCCACCCTGTGGAAGGAGGTGAGGTGCAGAGAGCTGCCCCGGCTCACCCTGGGAGCTGGAGAAGCAGGAAGCGCCGCTCTCGCGGTGCCCACGCGCTTCCTGGAGCCAGCAGCGGTGCCTCTAGGGAGAACATAAAAAGAAACTGAGAAAAGCTCAGCGGTGACAGGACGCAGGTGCCAAAACCGACAAAAGTTGGTGTCCAGAAGTGTCGCACCAGCCAGGTAGCGCTCGGTGCTTGGTACAGAAGAAGCTCGGAAAAACTGCAGCGGGTTGGAGGGTGGGTAGCGTCGGTCCAGGAACAGGATAAGTCAGTTCAAGTGAGCTGATGTACTCTAATTTTTACAAGCCCATCTGGGATGACTTTAATTATTTGTTCTTAAATCATGGTGGAAAAATGCTGATTGTTCTTACAGCCACGTGAGTCGTTCAGATGAAATGGGTTAGTGGTAAACAGCGCATTTTTAAACCAGCATCGACTTGCAAACAGTTATTTTTCTTTTCTCTTTATTTTTTTTTTCAGGAGGGCTAGGACGATGTGTGAACTTGCATCGGCCTGCATCTGAAACTGGAGCCTCCCTCCACCAAAGCTCGGCAAACTTGTAAAAACTGCCCCCGAACCAGCAGGCTGATTCACGGTGAGGGCGGACGCCTTGCACCGGGCGCTCGGCCCAGGGCTCCTCCTGCCCACCCGCCCTGACCCCTCTGCTTGTGCCTGGGTGGCCGGGTGAAGCCCTGGGGGATGCAGAAGGCACCCGGGATGGAGAGAGGACACAAAATCCTGTAGTCAGGCCTTGGACATGACAGTAAAGAAGAATTTATTACTTATAGTTGCATTCGCGTCCTTATGATCATTTTAGGACGGGCTGCGTCTGTGTCTTAAAATGTCAGAAAAAATCTAAAATGTTGGGTTTGTGTCTCTGATACTCAGTCGCCATTTGCTTTACGACACCACCGCGACTCCAGCTGAATAATAACAGCGTGGGGCAGCATGTGGCGCTGTCTGAGGTGGGTGCACGGCCCGGATGGCTGCGTGTGCCTTGCTCTGCCCTGCGAGCTGGCCCTCCTGAGGTGGGCAGGCCCTTGGCCCACTCCTCGCCTCCTCACACAGCATTTCGAGAAATTTGCCTGGCATAAGAGAAACTGCAATTTCAGTACCAAGTGGAAGGGACGAAGCCCAAAGGCAGGTGAGCGTCACTCCTCCCACGCCACGGATAAGGAAAGCGAAGCTGGGAGCGGGATATAAAAATAGGGTTGGAAGTGCTTCGTTCCCGCTCCTCGTGTAGGTTTTTTTTCCAGGTAATTTTTGGCAAGCTGCTTCTCCTGGACGCTCCCTGTGCTTGCCACCACTGATGGCAGTCACGGCCATGATTTCTTTCCAGCACCTCGCCACAGCCTGGGGAGGGGCTGAGTGGGCCCTGAGCCCCCAGCACCCACCCGTGCTCCCCACGGGCTGAGGCTGCCGCCCGTGGAGTGAGCTCCAGGAGGGGCTTCCAGGGGGGCTTCCACATCACTCCCCGGGCTCCTGGGCTTCAGCAGTGCCTCCGAGCAGCACCGGGAAGCCAAACCTCGAAGCTCGCTTCCACCCAAGAGGCGCGATCCTCCGCCGTGGCTCCTGCGGATTAGTAAGCGCTGGGAGTTACCATCTGGCGGGTGGCAAGGAGTAAAAGATTAAACAACCTGGCAATTCCTCGTTCCTCCTCTCTGGGCGTTTTCTCAGGACCAGACGGGGCCTCCGGAGGCTTTGTGAAGCGCAGGCGCTTGCTTAGCGTTGGTTTGTAAATAATCGTGGAGAAAGAAAGGCGATTTTTGGGGAGGGGAATCAAAATTGAAGCTTCCCCAAGAGCAAAGCGGCACCAGCCTTGGCACCATCCGTCCACCTCCGGCTTTGCACAGGGGTCGGGGTTTCCATGGGGGGCACTTGGCCCCCTCAGCGCAGTCCTGGGGGCTCCTCTCCCGTCCCCGACCCTAAATCCCGGCTGGGGGGGCTCTCGGGGGGAGGGCACCCCAGGAAGGTGCCAGGGCTGTCTGCACCTCCTGGGAGCTGCGTTCACCCAGCAGCAGCTCCTTCGCCCCAGCGCTGCGAGGCTGCTTCCAGCGTTTGCATTATAACCCCCCCCGTTTCCTCAGGTTCATTTCCCCTAAAAAAAAATAAAAAAGGAAAAAAAAAAAAGAAGAAGGTTTGACTGCACCTCGGCACACCGAGCCCTCGGGGGAGGGATGAAGTTTTTCCCTTTTACCTCGCTAGAAGCAGCCGGGCTCCGTTCCCGGGACGACCAAAACCCACCCAAAATCCGCGCGTTTTGGGGTCCGCGACAGCAAACATCGCGGCGAGCCCCCCCCCCGCCCCTAAAACCCGCATTTTTCCCCCCAAATCCCCCGGTCGCCTCGTCGGGACCCTCCCAGGGGGGGTCCCCCGGGGAGACTGCGGCTCGGGGGGGGCTCGGGGCGAGCGGGGCCCTGGGGGGGGGTTACGGGGAGGGAGGGGGGGGGCGGGGAGGGGGGGGGCGGCGCGAGGGGCAGCCCCCGTCTGGCGCTGACGTCACGGGGCCCGCCCGCGGCTGGCGGCGGCCGCGGGGCCGTGAATGAGCCGCGAGGGGGGGGGGGGGAGGGAGGAGGAGGAGGAGGAGAGGGGCGGGCAGCGATCGCATCGCACCCCCCCCCGGGGAGAAAAAAAAAAAAAAAATTAAAAAAAATAATTAATGAATTAAGCGCAGAAGGAAAACGAGCGCTCGCCGGGCAGCCGCCCCCAGCGGCCCAGCGGCAGCCGAGCGGAGGGGGCTCGGCGGGGCCGTGCCGTGCCGGGCCGTGCCGCTGCGGGGGGGGGGCGCTGCGCAGCGCCGGGTTTTTTATTTCCAATTTTTGCTCGCAGCTGCATTGCCCTCCCCCCGGCTCCCCCCCCACCTCCCCCCCCCCCCGCGCCGAGGAGGAGCCCCGGCTTTATGTGGTGCTGCCCGGAGAGCGCTCGGCGGCCGGGAAGTTCTTTGTGTCGCCGTCGCCTTCTTTTTTTTTTTTTTTTTTTTTTAATTTTTTATCCCCCCCCCCCCTTTTTCCTTCTCTTCTCTACTCTCTCTCTCTCTCTCCCTTTTTTTTTTTTTTTTTTTTTTTTAAATGTATAACTTAATGGGTCTGAACAGCACGGCCGTAGCTCTTCAGCCCAATGTGTCCTGCACATGCAACTGCAAAAGGTCTTTGTTCCAGAGCATGGAGATCAGTAAGTGCCCGGCCGGCTGGGGGGGGGCCTGCAGGGGGGGCGAGGGTGCGAGGGGCGAGTGTGCGAGGGGAGCAGCGTGCAGTGAGTGTGCACGCGTGGGGGGGGGCTGCAGTGCGTGGGGGGTTCGCGCATGGGGGGTGCGGGGCTGTGGGTGCACGCGTGGGGGGGGCGCCACGCGGGGCTGGTGCCGCTCGTGGGGGGGGGACACTCGTGGGAGGTGGCGCGGGGAGGCGACACGCGTGGCCCCGGGGCCACCCCGGCCCCGCCGCCTCCCGCCCCTCGGGTCCCCTCCTGGCCGCCCCCCCCCGAGCCGCTCCCGTCTGTGCCGGGGGGCCCCGAGCCCCCTCCCGGGGAGCTGTGCCCGGTTGTGTCCCCCCCCGGCCAGCCGGGCTTTAGGAGCTCCGGGGAGCAGCGAGGACAGCGCCTGCCCTCCGTGGCCACCGCTGCCCGGCTGCCGCTCGCCCTCGCCCCGGTGGCCAGGAAGGAGCCGGAGCTGGGGGGGAGCCGTGCGGGGCTGGGCAGCGGGGCTCAGCCGCCTTCGGTGCTGCCTCCAGCAGGGGAAGGCTTTGGGGGCGTCCCGGGCTGGGTGTGGGACATCAGGCTGCACCCTGCTGAACACCTCGCTGCGTGCCCAGGGCCCTAAACCCGATGCAAACCGGCCCCAAACGAGAGCCCGGGGCAGGGGCTCGCTTCCCACACCCCCAGCGTGGGGCTGGGGCAGGCTGGCTCCCGGTGGGTGTAGGGGAAAGTCGGCTGAGCCGAGCCGTGCCAGCCCCTGGCAGCACAGACTTTGCCCCGTTACCTCCAGGCGGGGTTGCGGAGCGCCGTGTTAGGGCCGGCATCGGTCCCTGGCTATTTGGGGTGCCTTTCGGCTGGTGCCGCCTGCCCGCACCTCGTCCCCTTGCAGCCCTGCTCCCTTCAGGTGGCCGCGGCCCGGGGAAGCTCCGCGGGCGCTCGCACACCGCTACGGAAACGTGTTCCTGCCCAATCCTCGCACCAACCATCCCCTTTGTACCGGCTGCACATTTAATCTTGATTTAATCTCATTCGTGTTCAGACAAAACTAAGCTGGATTTGCCTGATTTTATTAACACTGCCGGGACTGAATAGACCATTATTCTTCCCTGACTCGAGCAGGCCGGGCTAGGCGTGCATACCAATGGCAGCGTGTAAATACTGAAGATCCAGTGCTTTTCTCTGTCAGATCCAGTTCTTGCCTCTGTCAGCCTCAGCCAGCACGAGCTGTGTCCCACAGGGTTCCAGGAGCACAGCCTTGGCCCCGGGTCTGAGCGAGGCTCGTGGGTACGGTGAAAGTTGGGGATTGGAGCGGGCAGCGCCTTTTGGAGGAAAAGCTTCGCTCCCAGCCTGCTGGCGTGAGGGTTTATTGGAAGCTCTCTGGTTTTTCCATTTTGTGCTCGGACCTTGCAGCGAGAGCATTTTGGTGTTGGTCTTCTTTTTCTCAGCATGGGACCGGCACAGTGGGAGGCAGGTGCCTGGGCTGGGCGCTGTGTGTGTGCCACCCTGGGGGTGTGGGGGGCACCCCAGGACCCCACAAGGTGCCCCTTTTTGGGGCCGGACGGGCCCTGAGCCACTAGAGCAGGCTGCTGTCAGCCGGCCTGTCCCTGTCACCTCCCGGAGCCCAGCACCCAGCTCCATCACCGCTGCTCTTTCTCCCTTCGTTTCGGATAGGTTTTGTCGCTGCCGGTGCCTTGATGGGGCTGTGGGGGCGTTGTTGGGGCCGTGACCCCATCGCCCCCTCCGTCTGGCTTCAGTGGGGAGGGCAGAGCTGAACCTCCCTGAGAGAAATTCGTTTTACAGCGTTGCTCCCCTCAGACACCTTGATTTGTATTTACCTTTTCAATAGGACTTTGAGGGAACCTCTGGGCAGCTACCACCAGATGCTCTCTCATTTCCCAGCCCAAAGTTACCACGCCGGCACGTTTCGGGAAAGTGGCAGAGCTGTAAACTCTCCTAATTTAACCCTCTAATTAGGTTAACCGTGCAACTGATGCCCAAAACTATTTCTTCGCAGGCTTTGCTCCACACAGCGGGCTGCGGCGCAGCGGCAGCAGCTGGACCCTGCGCGGCTCCCGGATTAGGATTAGGATTAGGCCGGTGGGGGGTGTTTGGGAAGGGGGCCGGGGCCTGCCCTGGCCGCGCCGTGGTGCCGGCGGTGCTGGGCAGCCAGACGTCTGCGGCAGTGGTCGCTAATCGCCTCGGCGGGGTGACGGAGGTCAGGGGTGAGCTGCGCGTCGGAAGAGTCCGTAAATAACTAATTATTTGGCGCGGCGGCGTGCCTGCCTCCCCACCAGCTCCCTGCTCACCTGCAGCGGGCAGCACGGCCAGCTGGGTTTTCCAGCATCCCGCGGCTGCTGGCCCTCTCCATCCAGCCCCAGCGGCGGGGACCTGACCTGTGCCAGGGCTGCTTCGTGCCCGGGGGGGGTTTCAAAGGGGCTGCGGTGCCCGGGCAGGGCTGGGACGGTGCGGGGAGCCGGGAGGTTCCTCAGAGGTCCTGCAGAGGTCTGGCTGCTGTGCTGGCCCTAGCTAAGGGGCCAGGGGGGGCGAGGTGCTGGGGGGGCTGAGCGAGCCGGCAGGGAGGTTTCTGTCCGAGGCTTTGAGGTTTTCACATTCTTCGGTTTAATAACAAACCAAATGCTGGCGGCTCGAGCAGGGATCGTGCTCCTTTCCACTTCGGGCTGCTTTTTTGGCAGATCTTTTCTCCCCTGACACCGCATCAGTGGCAGTTCCAGGCTCTTTCAGGACTGCATAATACACGTTCACTTCTTTTTTCCTCCCCCCTTCGAGCTTTCCCCCAGGAGGAGCACCCACAGGGAAGACGGGGCTGCCACTGGCCCCTTAGCCGGCTGCAGAGCTGTTTTCACAAAGCGTGCTCAGGGTTGTGGCTCTCGATTTGACTTCAGCCAAACCCAGGAGAATCCCGTGTGTCCCTGGCTGCCTCCCCATCCACGCCGAGCACTGCCTCTCGCCCAGGGCAGCATCACTGGGTGCACCCCCACAGCACCGTGCCCGGGGCGCGCTCCCACCGTCACCCCCGGCCGGGGCAGCACTGGGGTCAGTAAAGGCAGGGTTGGTTTTGTGCCCTCGAGCAGCGATGTAATCGGAGCGTTTTATAACCAGGGTTGAATGGCAGAATTAAAAGACACAGAGGAGGAAATGGGAGGAAAAATAGTCTGCTTTTTTTTTTTTTTCCTTTTTTTTTTTTTTTCTTCTCCCCTGGGTGAACACCTGGATCGCGTTGCACCGCGCAGCACCGGCGAGGCGAGGCGGGTCGCAGCCCCGCGACACCCGCGCTCAGAGGCGCCTGGAATCATGCATAATGCAGCACGGAAACACGAGCTGGCTAATGCCTCCTCTTCCCTCGGCATCAGGGTGTATTCGGGAGGGTGTCTGACACAGTAAGTCCTGTTAGGCTGTGTCTGAAGGAGGTGCATCTCCTCCGCCCCCTGAACGAGCCCCTGGCTTGCCTTCGTTTCACCCGGTGTTGTGCTTTCAGATCCTGCCTGCGAGAGTGCTGGCATTGAGGAGTGTGTGACATGCTGCACCCCTCCTGCTTTCCTTCAAGCCAAGAGCTCCCAAGGTGGGGTCTGAACCCCCCCCCCAAAGAAATTTTCAGGGTGCTGAATGAGCCTCACGAGTGCTGCTTGCTTTGCAGATGGAGAGAGGAGTACCTACAAGCACACCTTCCCTCTGCTTATTTATTTCTGTTCGCTGTTCCTCACCAAATGTACTAATATTTTTAGCTTTCCGGGGCTGAGAGTTGGTGGTTAGATAAATCCAGCTTTAGAATGAATTTGTAAACCTAAATTATAAATGGATAGATGTGAGGAGACCTTTCCAGGGGAAGTACCAAAATACACGGTGTCACTAATAGGCGGTAATTAGAGTCCAGCTCCTTTCCTGAGTAACTCGCCGTGCAGTCATGTCTGTTGGTCTTGTTTCAGGTAACAGCAACCGTCAGAATTTGGTAACTCTAATTAGCCAAGAAAGGTCATTTATTTGCAATGGCTTTTCATTTTAAAACCCGACTGTCGCCTTGCTTCCTGCAGGGAGATCCGTGCGTGGTGTGCAGTTTATCTAATCAGATCCTTCGGGTTCCCTGATAGCGTGCATCTCCTGGTGGCTGATTACATGCGAGGTAATAAAACCTGGCTGGGCAGCTCGCGGGGAGAGCTGTGCAAGGGCCACTTTGCTGCAATTAGCTAGAAACTTTGTTCACACCGTGAGCACACTCCCAGACGTCCATAAAGCAAAGGACTCATTAGTGGTGCTGGGGATGTTTTTTGCAGTGCTCATCCCGTCTGCGGGGCGAAATTGCCGCCTGATTATTTTATAATTCTTTGGGTGGCGGAAGGCAGGTGGCTCGGCAGGTCCTAGGTGAGGAGACACGGCGGGGATCGGCCCTGCGGAGGCACTGCTTGCGCAGCACCAGGATTTGGGGGCAGGATTCGCCTCCACGGGACCAGGATGTGATCCTATCCTGCCTCTCTGCCCTTTGGAGTCAGTCCCATGGGCTGCTGCATCCCTGCTGCATCGCTGCGGGCTTGGCACCCCTCGGGGTGCAGGTCCACAGCACGGGCATTGTGCACGAGAGCTGCGTGCCTCTGAGCGCCGAGATGTCAGTACCTGGAGAAGTGTTGGGGCAGGGTCTGTGTGTGTTGGGGCAGGGTCTGTGTGTGTACGCAGGCACACACCCCTTGTGAAGTTAAGTGATTTAGCACTACAAGGAAATAGCTTAAAAAGAACTCGTTAAAGAAGTCATTGGTAACCAGAGAACGGAGTTTTTTGGGTTTTGTTTTTTTATTTTTTTGAAGCAGATGGATTTCAGTTGTAGAAGTTTATCGTCCAAATCAGAGGATTTGGGGAGCTATTGAGAGTAAGGAGAGCTTTGATGCTTTGGCAAGGAATACAGCTTCCAAGGCAGCACTTTGATCTGCATTTTAAATGCTTCTTTGTAATGACAGTTTCACAATTTCTTTTCT